TGGTCTCTAGAGACGCTCCCCACAGGAAGGAGCCTGGGCTCTCAGAGGAAGGGACCACGTTCTGGCAGGAGCTTCAAGTATCTCCTGGTGTCAGGAAACAAGAAGTTCTCAAGAACCAGCGAGGCCATGTCACAGGACTAAGAAGCCAGTCTTGGGAGAGCTCCTACAGCCAGACTTGGCACAATTAAATTAAATAATCATCATAATCATAGCAGCCTTAACTGATGGAAACACAATGAATAAATAAAACTGCCCAGGTCTTTAACAATACCCAGAAAAAGAAGACAAGCAAGGATGGAAGAAAGTTAGAAAGGAAACTCTTCTTCATAGACATATATGAACTAAAAAACACAGAAGACAATCTGAAAATTCTCATTTCACAATAACTAGCTCAGGCAAGAATTATAAAATAAATTCGTTAAAGTCGTGGTGAAGAGAGCATTCACTCAGTGTCGAGGCGCACCCTGCAGATCACCTACGGGAGGACGCGCCCTCCTGCGCTATAACATGAAATACGCACCACCACCACCAGCGAAGTGTTCCTGCCAAAAAGCATTTCCTCGGAGTCTCTCCACCTCATTTCCAGGTTACAGGAAATCTAGGCGGGAGGATGAGTAAAAGCACAGCATGAGGAAACTATTGGACAAATCCAGAATGTGGGATATTTTAGGAAAATAAAGTCAACGGACTTCCAAAAGCCAGTTTCTTAAAATAGAGGGAGGGGAAAAAAAGTAGAAGGGGCAGGGAGGAGGGCACAGAGGAAATAAATTAGAAGTGAATTAACAGCCCAGCAAGTGTGGCTCAGTTGACTGAGCATCATCCTGAGCACTGAAGGGTTTGGGGGTTTGACTCCTGGTCAGGGTACATACCCAGGTTGCAGGTTCAATCCCTGGTCAGGGCGTGTGTAGGAGGCAACAGATCAATGTTTCTCTCTCACATCGATGTTTGTTTCTTTTTCTCTCTCTCTCTCTGTCTCTTTCTCTCTCTTAGCATGTCCTCGGGTGAGAATTTTTTAAAAAATCAATTAATACATAAACCTCAACTGGACTATGACTTGAAAAAATGGTTATAAAACATTATAGGCACAACTGAGAATATCTGAATATAGAATAAACATTAGGTGAAATTCCTGAATTACTCTCTTAGGTGGTGTGATCATGTAGAAAGAAGACTGTCTTTGTCTAAGAGCAGCATGCTCAGGTACAGTAAGTGAAGGGAAGGCCTATGGTGATGCCTGGCACACACACCCTGACTCAGTAAAGGGCAGAGACTCGTTCCTTCAACATTTCTGTAATTATGAACATTTTCATCATAAAAGCTTGGAAAAATTATTTAAATGAAAACATAAAATTTAATTATCAGTAATAAACCTAATTCAGCTTTTTCCCTTCCAGAATTATTATCTCAAAATAAAAGGATATCCCAAAACTGCAAAAAATAAACTGTACTTCTTTATGTAGAAGAGCAATGGTACAAGTTGACATTAAAACACAAGGACTGAAATGAAGGAGCCATCAAAATTCAAACGACCACTTCAAGCATCCCTCAAGACACATCACACAGAAACCGATGCGTTCAAGCTGAGGAAATCCTCTAGAAGGTATGAATGACAATTCCCAGGGGCTGTCTGCAGGCAGGCAAAGTCCTGGTGCAGCCTCATTTGTTACAAACTAACAATAGAGTCCAAGTGCAAGCCTTACCCTGTAAAACATCATCTGCCTTGTTTTGTGCAGGGACTTGAACTACGATGTTGCACTATAGTTTATAACACTGGGGAAAACTGGGTGCAGGGCACACAGGACCTCCCTATATACTTTTCTGCAAATTCCTGTGACTCTGTCATTATTTCAAAAACAAAACAACACATCTTAGATCTCACGTCCTGGTGTTGCCCAGTTTGAACATATCCTTAACCTGGCTCCCTTAACCCTTCCCACAACCAATCAGATAAATGACATGTTTTCTTTAAAAAGGGTCCTTCAAAATCCTAAAGATAATCAATTCATAAAACTGTTAAAATCTGAGAAGCAACATAAGAGGCCTCACATCTCTTGCAATTAAATGCCTCCTGTCCAGACCCTTAGTTTCCGCACAGCCCCTAACCCTCGCCCCAGGACGAATGTGAATTCCGTCGGCTTTGTTCTCAGGTTGTAACCAACGCAGGGGAAGCAGGCGCAGTGCAGCGCTGGGACCACCTTCGTTCAGGGCTGCCCGGAGCTGCCGCCGGGCGAGCTGCCGCCTGTGCCTCCCCACACTGCTGTTTTCTGGCCGTCACTGGAGCCGAGGAATAACGAGTAGCCTGGTAACTGCCTCTGGGTTCCACCTAAGGAACAGGCTCAAGAGTCAGAATGAGTCTGTGCTTTTTCCAAAAAGAAGCATTCACACCTTTTAGCTCAGATAAAACGGAGAAGTCAAGAACCATGCAGAATCCTGCTCTCAAGAGAACCCTCCCCAACAGCCCCTCCTGCTGGAGCTGAAACCAGAAACATGTTCAAATTCTCCCTCATGCCAGCCCGCCCCCAGGTCTGACCCAGGCCAATGCTCACAACTTCACGAGGACTGCGGAGGGGCCCTTGGGGTGGGGTCGGGCAAGGGCATGTTTCCGGGGGTGTCAGCTGCGCAGTGTCCTTACCCACACTGTGCCCTGCTACGGCAGAGAGGTCACTGCATGAGAACAGCACACAACTACTGCTGAGGCCCACACGTCAAGGCCGGCGGGGTCTGCCTTTGTTCTCAAGACTCGCTGCCTGGTTTCCATGTCACCTGAACACATGAGTTTTGCACAATTTTTAAAGGAGTTCTGAAAATGTATTTCTCCAACAATGCCTGCTTTTTCAGGCAAGGAAACCCCTTTTGTATACAACTCAGCAAAAGTGGGACACAGAAGCACTCACCGCACACTGCTGTGGGGAACGAATAAAAGTTTAACTTTTTTGTATTTTCTTGTGTTTTACACTTCTTTAAAAACAGTGACCATGCACTGCACACTGATAAGCAGAGCCAGGCTCAGGCCAAGGACCTCTCCAGAGAAGACAGACCTCTCTCAGGGTCTCCGGGGTGGAGGAGAGATCACGACCTGGCTGGCATGAGCAGCAGTCAGCCAGGGCCGCACAGGCTGACGTGAGGACGACGACTCAACTCTCAGGACTTACAAATGCTTCACAAAGTTTGAGAGATTACAGTTACAATGGCACCCACACCGCAGCCAGCAGACAGGCCAGCCAGTCAGCTCCCGCCGCCTCCCCGCACAGCACCAGCAGCACGCACAGCGGGTGAGCAGGCCCATGCTCACTCCACTCTCAGCGAGTGGTCACACAGCTCGACCTCTGTATTTAAATAACAGCACGTTAGAATTTGCTGCTCCTTCACCACCCTTAGAAATAATCTTAAAAATAATATTTACCTGGAAAGTATCCCATTTCCCACTGAGCTGCACAGCAAGACAGGATCACTATAACACAACACAATAGTCCCTATCACAGTATGTTACAAGAATCTCTGGCCAGTCAACCAAGCAACGGTACTTCTTCCCTATAATAGTCCCCATATCCTCTTTTGCAGAACAAAGTGACATCCTATGATGTCACACCTTCAAATATCTGTACACAGCTCAGCTGTCCTGTGGTCCAGAGACAAGTATTTCCTAATTCTTACTAACAAACGTGCAGGAGGGGCAGGGGTAGGAACCTCTGCGGTTACTCAGCTGTACACATGAAATCGATACAGCCGTAACCTCCCTTGACAGAGCCCAGATTTGGGGAGATTACGGCTTTAGTTCAAGATATCCCAAATCCACAAGGCTGCTTGCTGGTTAACTCTTCCTAGAATTGGGATGTAAGATGGTAAACCTTATTCATAATTGAGCAAGTTACAAGCAATCATGAGAGTGTAAAGTAAAATTTCTGATGAAAATATAGTTAGCTGACCCTTGAACGATGTGGTGGGTGGAGGTTGGGGGGCTGACCACTGAAAATCGCTTATTACTTTGACTGCCCCCAAAACTTAACTACTAATCAGCTACTATTGACCAGAAGTCTTAATGATAACAGAAACAGTCGATTAACACATGGTTTGTATATTATATGTACTACATGCTGTATTCCTAATTAAGCTACAAAAAAGATGTTATTCTTTTGTTTTTTGTTTTTGTTTTTGGTACATGCCCCTAGCGGGAACCGAACCTGGGACTCTCTGGTCCGTAGGCCAATGCTCCAACTGCTAAGCCACACCAGCCAGGGCAAGAAAAGAAGATATTATCAAAGAAAATCTGTGAAACTGCGCAGCTCAAGCCCATGCTGTTCCGGGGTCAACGGTAATTGAAAAGAGATGGATTTAGTCCACTATAACCTGTGGGTGTTTTTAGAGATGAAATACGAACTCATGCACGCACACAAAGGGAGATGTACACTAACTTTTTGTCTGAGTTGATTTCTCCTCCTTCCCATCTACAGCTACACAGTAAATCCTCATGTGACCATTTTAAGAACTATTTTCTGCTACTAAATTTTGCCAACAATCTGCTCAGCGTTCTAGCAGATGTTTCTGTTTTCAAACCTCTGGGAACTTGGCTGGACCTGCTTTCTTTCCTCATGTTAAAAATAAAAGAAATGGCACAAATGTGGCCTCACGCCCTAGGAAGTGTTTCCCCACCCCACACCCTCACTCTGTTTATGTGACCTCCGTGATCCCCCTCAGATCTCTTCTTCTCCACTGGAGAAGATGTTTCCAATTATGGTCCATCGTGTTGCCAAGGATGACATCACTCAGAAGTGGGTTTTGTTTGTTTGTTTTTTAAAGAAAATGCTACTGATTGTCATTTGCTTAGGGACCATCGACAATAACTAACTGTGGAGCTGGACCTCACAAACCCACAATGCCAACGGAGGGCAGTTCGTGCAAGGTGCATCCTCCAGACAGAACACTCTTCCGTGGGGGCTGGAGGCGTGGGGTCCTTGTCTTCTATCTAAGGGTTTCTTTAAGTACACGTGACCCGATCTCACCTCAGTAACGTCCATAACTTTGATGGCTGCCAGCTGACCTGTTTTCACATGCCGACCCTGAAATACAGAGAAAAGAAAGAAAATTGGCACCACTGTTTTGCACAATCACCAGGACAGGATGGTTAAAGCTTCAACAAATCATTTCGTCTCTATTTTATCCCCCCAGAAATGACAATAGGACTATGCTTTCCAATAGAACAATAAGGTTTGTAGTACCAATGAACCACACTCGATAAAGCAATGGAAACAAATGAGCTGATAAATTTCCCCTTTCCGGGATTTAATTTATGTATCGTCACCTTTCTACTCAAGCAACTTAAATGCGCTCTCCTGCGCATCCAGTGGAGCCCTCTCCCCCCCACAGCCGCGGGAAGGGAACGACAGACACCCAGACGCGCGGGCGTGTGCTGTTAGGAAGGGTTAGCGGTCAGTCGCCCTCACAGCGTCCCCAGCACACTTGCTTGATTTTATAAGAGCTGATACTGAGAGTCTTCTTGGAAGGTTTTCTTTTTTTTTTATCCTCACCTGAGGATATTTTTCCATTTTTGTACAGATAGAGTGGGAGGGAGAGAGAGGAAGGGAGAGAGAGAGAGAGAAACATCGACGTGAAGGGACACATCGAGTGGCTGCCACCCGCACGACCAACCAGGGCCGCGGACAAACTGCAACCGAAGTACGTGCCCTCAGCGGGAACCGAACCCGGGTCTCTCTGGACCCCAGGCTGACACTCTAACCGCTGAGCCAAACTGGCCAGGGCTTGGAAGGTTTTCTTGTAGTTCCACTGCAGAAAGGTTGGAAAATCATTATCCAGAATAAAGGGAGTGTTCAGAGAGATGGGGGGGCGCGAGGGGAGGAAGGAGAGTGTGCTGAGGCTTCTTCGCAGCTGTGCTGCAGTTCCTGCCCTGGGGCCTGAAGACCTGCTACCCACTTACACACCTGGGGGTTTCAGGTCTGGTCCTCACCCCTGCCCCTGAGGCTTACTGGATCGCACTGCTGTCTGCCTCCTCCTCTCCGTCCACTATTTGCCGTGGTGGGAAGCGGCCCTCCGGGCACAGGTGTGAAACAGGGAGAGCGTGCATGTTCCCAAGAGCCCGCCCCCGGTGGCCCCACAACGGGGCATCAGGACTTCAGAGCTGAAACCTGAGGAAGGCTCTCCCTCTGTTCTGGAAAGCTGAAGTGGGAACCCAAGTTACAACGCGGGCAAACACAGCCCTGTGCGGACGGCACAGGGCGAGCATCATGGTGGGAGGGGTCCAGCAACGCCCAGCAGCCCGTGAGCAGGACCTGTGTGACAGCTCAGCAACACACCGGGAAGAGGACAGACATAGTCCACAGGCCGAGAACCTCACTCCAGCCCTCAAGCCCCTGCAGACCTGGCCCTCCGCCACCGCAGGCCTGCCCTCCTGCCCCCTGCAGGGTTGCCGTGTGAGTGTGGTACCGTCTCAGTTCAAACTGGAGTTCAGCTCTGAGGCAGGGAGGCAGATCCCACAGGGGCAGTAACAGGGAACTCTGCCTTCCTGCCCTTCCAGTCACATCCCAGCGGCCACTCCACAGGCGTGCTTTCCCAGCCTGCCCAGCCCCGAGAGACCAGAGCTGAGACCCCACTGCGGCCTCAGAGTGCCCCAGCATCACGTCTTGTCCACCATCCCCACGGAGCTGGGAGAACAGCCTGGCTCTATTTCTGCAGTGACAGTCAGGTCACCCATGATCCTGAAAGAAAACGTCCTGTCTCCATGGTGCAACAGAAAGACGGGGCTCCATCTCAGAGACAATGCAGAGTGGAGTACAACTCTGTGCTAGGAAGGTCGTAACTGATGAAGTATTTCTGATACAGTCATTTTTTTTTTAATCCTTCACCTGAGGATATTTTTCCATTGATTTTTAGATAGAGTGCAAGATGGGTGGGGGGTGGGGAGAGAGCGAGAGAAACATCAATTGGTTGCCTCCTGCACAATCTAGACTGGGGCCAGGGATCAAACCTACAACCCCAGTACGTGCCCTTGACCAGGAATCAAACCCTCGACCATGGGTCAATGCTCTAATCACAGAGCAAAACTGGTCAGGGCACTTACAGCCATTCTGACTATCTGTCTGTCCAAGAGTCAGCACCTTTCGACATATCCTTCTCTGAATCGCTCATTAAAAACGCACCTGTGTGTGTTCTAAGCTCTGTAACCACAGCATTGTTCTAAGCATCAGCACAAGAAACACCCAGCTCTACTCCGTGTCCCGGGCACGGGCTGGGCAAGACCAGCCACACTGCGTCTCCTCCACAGCCCAGGACTGAGCACGGCGCAGCGCGGTGAGCCCCGGGCTCCTGTCGTCAGAGTGAGGGTGGTGCCACTTCACAGGTTCACTCTCAAGAAACTGAGGTGCAAAGAACCAGCGTCGGCACGGACGTGATCGAGCACAACCCTGTGTACATTGCTCCTGAACCCTGCTTCTCTCTACTGAGGACAGGACGTGAATTAATTAGCAACCGCCATGAGTACCTATCAGCGGCGACATAATCATGCAACCAGATCGTGATTTCCTCGAAGGCAAGAAGAAAGGGTAGAACTCAGGACAGGACTGCAGAACCCTCCCACCGCGTCCGTGTAGGAGACACGGACCGTGTCGTCAGCACCCATCAGCCCTCACACCTGCAAACACACACCTGTCAGCTCTGCGCAGTGGTACTACTTCCAAGTTCCTGAAGCAAATGTCTCCCTGACAGAATCTGAGAAAGTGTCACAAGTCTTGACCCAGCTCCCTCTTTCCCAAAGGGTGAGCAGGACTGCTCTGGGAGTGCGGCAGGGAGACGTGGGGGCGGGGCTTCTGAGAGGTATAACCTTTAAGACCCTTACAGACCAAGAAAACCCACTGGTCTATGGAAAACCACCTCTCCAGATGGTCATACAGCAGTATCTTCTTCTTCCCTCTTTCCTAACTCAAGGCTGCAAATGTGTTCCTCAGAGTCAGCAGTTCGACAGTGGCAAGAGCCAAACGCTGTGACTCGGCTCTTACTTTCCACACAGCGTTAGTTTCCCTGACTGAGGGATCACAGAATCAGGCCCTAGCAACTCATCAATTATTTTTGTGTCTGAAAACAGATCAAGCAAAGGCATTCGCCTTAACACATACCAGATCTTCCAAAATTAGGTCCAATTTAAATTGAAATATGACTCAGGAAACTGGAACAGTTCTGCCTCCCTCCTTCCCAAGAAACAAGACAATGTGCTAGAAGGAAGGAATCTGGGATTCGCAGCCCTGGGCTCACACTCCTCCCTAGCACCTCGTTGCTGCACTTCTTCAGGAAGGCGCATATCTCTCCATGCTTCCTAGAGCACTCCGGGGTCCAATGCAGGCCAACCTGGGTGCAGGGGCAGCCAGAGCCGCCCGCACACCTGGCAGGCACGCAGGTGAGTCTGTGCTCCCTCCAGAGCCCTGCTGGCTCCCTGACCTTCCTCACCAGCAGAGCAACTACCTCAAACTCATCAATTTAGGCCCATTTCTCATCTTCAAAGGGCATGGCCAATGTGTGGGGAGGCAGTGGGGTGCTACAGCAAGGTCCTCTCTCTCTCTCTCCATATATATGTGTGTGTGTATATATATATATATACACACACACACACACATACATATATATGTGTATACACACATACACATACACACATACATATTTATGTATGCAGATTCAGAATTTGAAACTAACAGAAGTTCTATTCTACCTGCTCAGATGGGCCACCACATGTAAAGGAACTAAGGTGGGCAGCAAGGTAGCCTGAAGAGATGAAACGTACTGAATGTATGTAATACATATGTACTGATACATATGTAATCATGTACTGAGGACGTTACATGGAGGTTTTTTGAAATGGTAAAACTTGTGTGATTTACTCAACACTACCCAAGAGAGACTGTATGATGACCCGTCTCAGGGTGGGCCAAGGGCCCATGAGGGAGGCCCCACCCATGTTCCCTTGGCTTTAGCTGTGACCAATGGCCGTCCTTCAGACTGCCTCAGTAGCACGTGAGGAAAAAATACACACAATCAGAACCAACTGCACTGTGCTAGGGGCCTGAGGACACAGAACAGGCATTCTTCCCTGAAGTCTGAGGCTACGATGTACCTGTCATGCCACCGAGGCCTCTTTCCAGCTCCTGAAGACTGCTTTGCAGTCTGCTCCTGGTAGATGGATAATCCGCCCAATTTCCTTAACCCAGCTCTGGATCCAGCAGGGGTATCACTGAGACTCCTGGCCTGTGCGTGGAGAGGCTGGGAACTTCGTGTCAACAGGACCTTTCTGTCCACTGCGCAGCCTATTCCTACTACACACCAGTCAGTGCTCGGTCAGTCTTGAATGTGCACACCTAACATCCAGGCGTGACCCTCACTCTCGTCCTGCTGTCTACACTTCTGGGACACGCGGCGTCCCACACAGCGTCATAACTGCCGCAGGGAAGACGTCAAGGCCACGCCTCCTTTGCCGGTGAGGCACCATGTAGACAAGAATTTACGCAGGAGACATCTGCTGATGAAGTGCTCCCAATACCACTCAGTCATTTTTCCAAGAGATCTTGAAAAATCTGTAAGGGTGGCAAAGCAGGTCACTATCCTACTATGCAGATGAAGAACCGTGACTGAATCTTACTACTAAGTTATCTACCCAAGGCACAGTGGCCACGGAAGCCCCTTTCTACAAGTGTGCAGAACACGACGTGGACTCCTGCTATTTCCAACAACTTGTCAAATTCCTGCTACTGAAGTTCTTCGATTTTAAATAAACACCTTACACTGCGCCCCCTCGTGCAGAGTTGGCACACAGCGAGATTTAGAACGGAGCTGCTGCTGCAAGGACACCACCTCACACAGGTTCGAGCGGCGCCCACTCACCAGGCCGGCCCCCCAGCGCAGTGCCTTTCATGGCACTTGATTCATTTTTTTGTCTTTACATGAGGAAAATGCATGTTTCTTTAAAAGGAAAACTCAACTCAAACTATTCTTGGCAAACATCCAAGCTAAGGAAAATGCCCTAATTTTCAACTCTCCTTCATGATTCTAAAGAGTCAAAACT